GGGGGGGGGGGAGTAACATCCAACCTTCCTTGGTAATTTGAGATTATCTAGATGTCTAAAATTATGAAGATTGGTCCAAAAAATGCAATGTTGCACACTTAATTATTTTGTGATAGCAACAATTTTTTTCTCCGACTGTTTCCTTCTTATTTCAGAGACATATACAAATAGAAGATTTTTTTGACATTTTTTTTGTCAAAATTGCGGAAATTTTATTAAAGATAACAACTTTTGATTCTGACCACACACATATACATATAACTCTCCCCCCCCCCCTTGGTCCCTGGTTCTCAAAAAATTGAACCCATCATGTTTTGAGAAGCTGATCAGATAGATGTCCACAAAAAAAATGACAAAAAAATTACAAAATGCATTTAGATAAAATAAAATTTAAAAGTCATATAAACCAGTTAACCTACTTCGTACACCATGCCAAATTTAGATTATAATTTTATCAATACTTTTCTACCATTTATTTATCAAACTAATTATCTATCTATCTACAATTCTTTTCAATCTAATACTCAAGAAGAAACAAAACCTTTTTTGCCAAATTTTGGTTTTTTAAACCATCTTCAGGACATTTTTACTTTATCTATTTATCTATCCATCTATCTATCTAACTATCTGTCTATCTATCTATCTATCTATCTATCTATCTATCTCTCTATCTCTCTATCTATCTATCTCTCTATCTCTCTATCTATCTATCTATCTATCTATCTATCTATCTATCTATCTATCTATCTATCTATCTATCTATCTATCTATCTATCTATCTATCTACCTGTCGGCTTGCTGGAGATCTATAATCTGATCGCAGTCAATACAGCTAGTATCAGGTTCCTCTAGTTCTTCACTTCTCTTCCTGATGAATATTTTTCCCTCGATCCGTCCTCGTCCAGTCTCACTTCCTGATAAATACAGAAATTAATTCTATCTGTCCTTGTCCTGTCTTACTTCCTGATAAATAGAGAAATTAATTCTATCTATCCCTGTCCTATCTCACTTCCTGATAAATAGAGAAATTAATTCTATCTATCCTTGTCCAGTCTCACTTCCTGATAAATATAGAAATTAGTTCTATCTGTTATTGTCCTGTCTCACATCCTGATTAATATAGAAATTAATTCTATCTGTCCTTGTCCAGTCTCACTTCCTGATAAATAGAGAAACTAATTATATCTATCCTTGTCCAGTCTCACATCCTGATAAATATAGAAATAAATTCTATCCGTCCCAGTCCTGTCTCACTTCCTGATAAATACAGAAATTAATTCTATTATCCTTGTCCAGTCTCACTTCCTGATAAATAGAGAAACTAATTCTATCTATCCTTGTCCAGTCTCACATCCTGATAAATATAGAAATAAATTCTATCCGTCCCAGTCCTGTCTCACTTCTTGATAAATACAGAAATAAATTCTATCCGTCCAAGTCCTGTCTCACTTCCTGATAAATACATAAATAAATTCTATCCGTCCTCGTTCAGTCTCACTTCCTGATAATAGGGAAATTAAAGAGATTGTTGTAAAATTTCAAGTGCTATCAAGAAATGCACAAAAATGATTGAAAATAACGCAGTTTTCTACAATGAGAAAATCAATAATCTAGTTATTTAATGCTATTACAAAGCATCTTTACTAGTAACTTATTAAATCACTTATTATTGAAATGGTTCTGTTTTCACTGCACATTTGCTGTATCAAACGTTCATTAGACAGGATAAAGTCATAACTTGAGTCTGAAAGTCGTCTTGCTATTTCACAGTTTTCTGATTCTTATTGCATGGAATGATCAAATCTCAAAATTTTAAAATCGATGAAAGTAATTGAACTAGGTGTAGGTAGTTAAACCACTACTTGAACTAAATAGTATGGCCTAGTGTGTGATGGAGAATTAGTTGAACCAGCCTTACCTAGTCTAACTAATATTGCTATTCTTTAAATCTGGTCTTTGGGTTTGTTATCATTTTTAACAAAACAACTCCATCATAGTTTCTATGGATTCAAATTTTACGGGGCTGAAGTAAATATTTTTTTAATACAGGGTCCCTCAAAGTTAATTTGTCAATGACCATTCCAAGGATGGTAGATAACAGGAGTAAAAAATCTGCCATATAATTCCTTTTAAACGAATATCTGATCCATATAATAACAGTTATAAAGCTATCTAAAATTTAATCTATAAAATGATATAAAAATACTGGACCAAATCCAATGCAAAAAAAATAGAAACTATTTAACTAAATTAGTATCGTTAAAAAGCTACTAAGGGGGGATTTGAAAAGGATAAAAGTATAGATATTTGGCAAAGTAGTGCAGTCTGTATATACCCTACTGAGCAGTATTGTAAGCAGGCTTATTACCAAGTATAAAACTTGCAGGGGCATTAACTCAGGTTTATGTGACGTAAATAGGAAGTCATAAAACTACCCTCTATGAAGAAAGGAGTGTTGTTATACGATCTAAATTCAAAAAAATATTTCAGGGGTTCATATTTCAGGGGGTTCATATTTCAGGGGTTCATATTTCAGGGGTACATATTTCAGGGGTTCAAATTTTTCTCATTTTTTCTTGACAATTATTCAAATATTATTCATATTTTAATGGAAAAACGGAAAACCATTTCATGAAAACCTAAAAAATATTTTATATTTCATATTTATTTGTAGTTTTCCACCAAACTTATAAGTGGCAGTGGGAGGGGGGCTCCATTAAATATTTTAAGGAATGTTTCTCTTTTTTTTGAATAAAAGAAAGGCTAGAGGGTATATGATTAGAGTTTGGATTTGTAAAGATGAATGAAATAAATATGCAAATTGACTCCTTGATTATGGGTTGAGTTTGAATAATTTAAAGTGTCATTCATTTCTAAAATACCTCCTAGCCCTAAGATATATATAATCAAGACCTCTGCAATTTTAGTATTAAAAATATAAAAAATCTTAGATCGAATTTTCCTCCTTTTTCCACCCATTGGGTGCTACTACTCAGTACTCACTTTTACCAGATTATTTAAATTAAATATATAAACTAGCATTGAAACCAAGTCAACCTACTCAACTTAGAAGTTTAAAATCATACTAAGAACATTCCTGTGGTTCTACCGAGTTCCCTGATAAAAATTTACAGACAAAAATCGGACATCGAACCAGCAAATTTCCATGATGATTTAAACCGTTACAAGGCAAATACATGGATTTAAAGGGCATCATTTTTACAAATCTTACAAAAAGCTTTTTTTCGTGAACAGTCCTTTTTAATAAAAAATATTCTTGGAGTATGTTAAAGATATATCAGATTTCTTATGAATAGGACAGAGTTTTTACCTAAAAATGGGCAAGAATTTGATATCTTTATCTTATATAAAAATGGCATTCTCATAAATTTTGTCTTTTCTTACATTCAGCAAAACATTTACTCTTGTGAAATATATTTATGGTCAAAACGAAAAATTAAAATGATTAGTTCAAAATATTTTGTTTTAGAAAAAAGCTCAAACTTATAAAGAATAAATATTGAAATGTGATAAACATCTTGTGAAGTCTTTTACAATTGAACTTTTAAAAATAAAGAAAAAACAATAATTTTACCTAAACCACTGTCATTTCTTTCAATATCCTTGGAGCCAAGCTTCTCTTTAACAGCTGCTAGCTGCTCTTCACTGCTACTGCTGCTACTACTAATATTGCTGACACGCTTAGGAATATTCCGACCTCCAAGGACGATCTCCGGCTGTGCAGGACTGATTGGATCCTCGTCATCCTCCTCTAGGTCGAGGTCACAGTCTGTTAGTCCTCGTTCCCTGGCATCCTCCAGATAGTTGAGGATATCGTACTTTGAGGCTCCTTCAAATATTGATTTAACCGGAGAGGACTGCTCTGAGAGGATTGGAGAGGATCTAGGAGAGGATCTAGGAGAGGACAGAGACTCCGCTGGTATCGGAGGAAGAGGTCTGATCGGTGGCGAATCATTTTCAAAATCTCTGTCATTAATCTCCTCATATATATGCTCGAAATATGCATCTCTGTTTGGAATAATCTCCACTTGTTCTTCTTTAATAGAGTTTATAACAGAGGATGAGTTTGAGAGCTGGGATTTAGGTCTGTATATACTACTGGAGGTGGAACCAGAGGATATAGAGGGAGAGGAGAGGATTTTGCGAATATCTTTAAAGCTCCGTCTCTCCTCCTCTGGAAATATAGTGACGAGGTCAGACGAGGACAGGGTTCTCTTGGTTGCATCCTCCTCCAGAGACGGGCTCAGTTTCCTACAGCTCTCTGATCTCCGGATTAGATTGCTACTTGATGATTTGGATATCTGGCTCAATGATCTGTTGAAAATGAGGGCTTTGTGAAGTGGTCGGGTTCGTGGAGTGAATGACTTAGACCGTTCTCGTTTAGGGCGGCGTCCAGGTTTCACAGAATCTTTCAAGTTTAAGAAATCATTTCCTCCTGTCTTAAGTTTAAGAGGCGGTTCAGGGAACACAGTAGGATCCTGGAGGGGTGTGTCCCGATAAAACTTAGAGTTTTGTCCGACCATAGTTTCTGATTTAGTGTCCTCAGCTATGTCATAGATTAGGTCGTCCTCCTTTACTCCGATCCCGAGAAGTTTATTTATCTTCTTCATCTCAGACTTGTTGAAGGAGAAGAACTTTCTGGATTTGGATCTATTCTCCACCTCAGGTTCAGAGGGCGGAGGGGGCGGAGGATCCCTGGGGCGGGGCGGAACAATCCTATCTCTAAAGGACTGGGATATTCCTAGTCGTCCGAGTTTAGTTCCGGTGGAGAAGGTTTGAAGAGTATCTTTGATGGAAGGACGGCTCCTGAGCCGGAGTCGGGTTGTATCCTGGAACATAGGTTGGTACCTGGAGCAGTATTCTTGCTCCAGGTTCCCCTGGTTCTCCTGTCTCAGATCCTGGAGTAGGGAAGGATGGGATTTCATCCATTGTCTTGATGAAGGAGGGTTGGATACATCTAGATCAGAGCTACTCAGTGGTTTGAACCTTTGTCCAATAGAAGGATTGGGTTTACTGGTCTCTTCTCCGTGTAGAGCTAGGAACTGGTCTAGATACTCCCAACCGTCTCCCCCTGGTTCCTGTGTCCTCGGGATTTCTGAAGAAAAAAAAACACATTATTTTTATAAAAAAATGATATTTTCAAAAACTGTAGAAGAATATTTGAGAGCAATAAGGTTCTTTATCTTTCCCTCCAAAATAAAACTTCTAGATGTGTCATCAATTTTTTTCAAGACTTTTTCTTCCAAATTTGAGATTAACTGTGATAAAAGGAGATAATTTTAACTTGTTTGAAATTTTTAGATTTTGATTATTTCTGATTGTATTTTAGAAGTAAAATAAGAGAAAAATGAGAAAATTTTGATCTGCATAACATTGCATTATTTTCTAAACAAAAATTCCTTGCCATAAAAGTTTAAAAATTTCCAACAACAACCTATAATTATTAATTGCGGGGAAGGATAAATACAGGAAGGCAATGGTTGCTATGGGAAATGCAAAGCCAAGAGGTTTAAAAACTACCTTAATCCTGGATCTTAGCTTTTATGCTACTTACTTTTCAAGTGCATAATCCAACAGGCATGTCATGTATGCTTGTAAGCTTTGAAATATTTGTTAACTTATCCTCTCTATAAACCTTATACTCCTTCCCTCTCTTTTCCTTTCTTCTCTATCCTTTCTCATTTCTCCATCTTCTTTTTTTTCTTTCATTTTTTTTGGGGGGCGAAGGAGACGTGAGTATAGGAAAAGGGTTAAATTATTACTAAATGTTGGATACAATGGTGTCCGATTGGCCAGCTATTAAAAATCATTGAACTTTGTAAATTGCAAATTTTATTTGTGACTAGCTTACAAATCCTTACTGTTGCAGTATTAATGCCTGAATTCATTCTACCATGAATTCATGGCATCATAAAAACATGCATCCATCATCCCCCCCCCTTCCACCCCAACCCCTTCTCACTGCATAAATACACCTTTTTACCCCCTGCCCCACCCCCTTCACCTCTTTTCATCTCATTCCTTTGAGAATAACAAGAAGGACCTGGTCTTCTTCCCCTTATCTTCCGTAACACAATTTTCCCCTCCCACTGCCCAAACCAAATTCTTCCTTCCTTCCATCCCTCTACTTTACCTTCCATAACCTACTTTTACTACCCCCCCCCCTCTTTCTCCTTCCTTTCTCTAATAAACTTCATCCTTCTTCCAGAAGGACTAGATTTAAGAATTAAATCGGATAAAGGACAGGGTTAAGAAACAGGATTGACTTGAAGGACTATAAAGGACTATGGAATGACTTGAAAACTATAGCGGATAAAGGACGGGGTTAAAGAACTATAAAGGACTATGGAATAACTTGAAGGACGATAGCGGATTAAGGACCGGGTTAAAGGAATATATTGGACCATGTAATTACTTGAAGGACGATAGCGGATAAAGGACGGGGTTAAAGGACTATAAAGGACTATGGAATAACTTGAAGGACGATAGCGGATAAAGGACCGGGTTAAAGGAATATGAATGACCATTAAATGACTTGAATTACTACAGCGGATAAAAAATGGGGTTAAAGGACTATAACAGACCAAGGACGGTGTTAAAGAACTTTAACGGACCAGGACAGAGTTAAAGGATTATAACAGACCAAGGACTGGTTTGAAGAACTATAGCGGACCAAGGACGGAGTTGAAGGACTAGGATGAAAACAAGAAATCTGGCGAAAGAATTGTGTTTTAAAACCTCATCTTTGACTGGAAGTAATTAGTTTGAATAGTTCACTAATCCATCCTAATTAGTCAAAGGTCAAATTACCTTGTTCCTCCTTCTCCTGTTTTTGTTTTCCCCCTCCTCCTCCTCCTCCTCTGCTCAGATCCCGGGAATCATCTGTTGACTGCTCCTGGTGTCGGCAGGCCCAGAGTAAACCGTCCTGACAGTTGTAATCAGGGTTATCTCTAGGATCTCTCGGAACTACAAAGTTTGGACTCGTGATCTGAGTTGGCACATCGTAATGTCCACTTCCAGGTCCATCGATATATTCTTCTTCAGGGACCTTATCCACTCGTCTTAGGGGCTCCTCAGGGGTTCTGCCACACTCCAGCTCAGGGTCTATAGGGGTACTGTGCCGTCTCAACTCATTCCGGAGTTCAACAGCTTTTAAAAGAGAGGTTTTGGATCCGTAGAGTTCCTGGATTATTTCACTGGAAAAGTTTGCACTAATCCCTGAATGTTTAAGATCTACAGATCCGTATAAACTATCACGACTACCGGAGAAACTTTTGCTCCTGGAAGTTTGGGATTTTTGCGAATCTGAGCTTATCTTGCGAGATATCATGACCTTTGGATTGCATGTTGTAGGTTGTCTGATTCCAGCCCCTGCTGGAGCCAAGGGTCTCATTTCCTCTCTCATCAGATTAAACCTCAGAGAGTTTTCCTCCTCTATATCCTGAACCTGGAGCTGGTCCTCAACCTGCTTCTCTACATCCTTCTCTACACTCTTCCTCCGGGGAGGTTTACAGGGGGGTATGGAGTCAGTTCGTTGGATTCTGATGGTTGACTCTAGTCTGTTGGTTCGGGGATACTCCAGGTTAGAGTTCTTTATTGACTCTGTTCTAAGTGTTCTATCAACTCTTAATGACTCGGTTCTCTGTGGTTTAATTGACTCCTTGATAGGAATAGTAAAGGACTCCTTTATAGGAATAGTAAAGGACTCTTTTATAGGAATGGTAAAGGACTCCTTTATAGGTAAAATGAAAGGAGGAGTAAAACACTCCTTTTCCTGACTAGACATGGAATCTCTTGGTACTCCAGATATCCTGGGGGACTCCACAACACTACAATCCGCATCATAGTTGGAGTACTCACTCTCCGCATCACTTTCACTACTGGAGTATCCTGCTGATTGACGGATACTGGAGTCACTGTAAATTTGAATTTTTTGTCCGGAGATTTTAAAACTATTAAATCGTTCCACCCCCTCCCTTCCTGCGTCCGACTCCGAGTCTGAGAATTCACTTTCAAACTTCGAATACACCTTGTCTGGTTGTTCGTCACTGGATAGATTGGAGTCAGATAAAGAGTTGGGAGGACTGTCTCCGACATACTTTTTGATCAGATCGTACGGATTCTTGTTGATTGAACCAGAATTGATCGGTTTCACCGGAGTCGAGGTTGAAATTGTGATTGTATCCGGGTACTCTGGTGCTACAGGTTGAACCGAGGACGTATCTGCGGAGAGATAAATAATGGAACTGTTTTTTCCGCCACTTCCGTTAACAGTTACTATATTTCTATTTCCAGGTTTGGGTCTGGGTCCTGGGGTTCGGAGCGGACTAGATCGGATTGCAATATTCTGCATATCCTTGCTGTCTTTGGTGTTGAGTCGGTTCCGATTGTTCAAGTTCATACTTTGGGTTCTGGTGAAGTTTTTGTACTCATGTTTAGGAGATTTACCACGGGTCTTGTTGGAGCTCAGCTCATCTATTCCTGGTTCGTTAAACATGATATCTTCATACTCATCCTGCTCATCGTAAAAAACTGGTTTAGGATAGGAGAGCCGGCGTTTTCTCATGTATTCATACGGATCCGGGACTCCGGGCGTTAAACTCTCTTCAGATAAAGATCGCCGCATGCTTCTGTAGCTATCGGAGCCGGGTCTATCAAACCCGCATTTTTTACATTTTCTTGATCCTCTTCGACCTCGCTGGGTTCCTCCAAGGTTGTCCTCGCACATACAAACATTGCCGTTGATTGCAAACTTTGTATATTCTCCGTACTGAACCTCTCCGTAAAGTTGCTCCGGACTCAGAGTGGGTTTTAGATGAGGATGCGGATACACTCCTCCTCCTCCATCCCATCCACTCCAGGTTAGGTTTGCACCATTGGAACTGCTCCGACCTCGTGGTATCACGTTGTGGAAGGTTCGCCGAGGGGCCGGAGAGGAACCATGAGGGTTCCATGGCTCCGGGTTAGAATAACCATTGACCCTAGGGAGAAGAATATTCCCGAAATGATCTCTGTAAACCTCCTGGTAAGCTCTATTGTATCCCTTCTCTTTATCTCTGGGTTTAGCCAACCTGTCTAGACGGGTTGTCAGCTTCTCCGCAAAAGATTTCTTCATCTTCCTGGGTAGATGAAATGAACTCCGATCCTAAAAAGTGTTAAAACTATTATTATATTTTGAATGTCTGTATTACAAAAACATGATGTGATAAGGTTCAATTAAAACTTCAAGAATTTTTTGTATTTGTCAAGAGAAAAAGTTTGAAGAGAAGTGAAAAGTGTAAACATTCTCATTAAATAAGAATTCTTTACTTGAAGGTTGAAGTTTCAGGTTTCAAGAGATTGGGTAAACTCTAGAATTATTTCAAACCTTGACATTCTACAGATATCTCATAATTTACACTTTACTCATTCTATACTTTACACTTTACTCATTCTATACTTTACACTTTACTCATTTCATACTTTACACTTTACTCAGTTCATACTTTACACTTTACTCATTCTATACTTTGCACTTTACTCATTTCATATTTTACACTTAATTCATTCCACATTTTACACTTAACTCATTCCATACTTTACACTAACTCATTCCATACTTTACACGTTACTCATTCCATACTTTACACGTTACTCATTCCATTCTTTACACTTTACTCTATTCATACTTTACACTTTACTCATTCCATACTTTACACTTTACTCATTCCATTCTTTACTCATTCCATTCTTTACACTTTACTCTATTCATACTTTACACTTTACTCATTCCATACTTTACACTTTTCTCATTCCATTCTTTACACTTTTACTCATTCCATACTTTACATTTTTTTAATAAAAAAATATACCAAATAATCTATCTAAGAACGGAACCGTAAATGAAGAAATAAATGGAATTTATTTCGTTCAGTCGTCTCTTAACTTTTGTAGAACAAAAACCAGCCATTTTCTTTTAGAAATCCACGATGCTATTTATGAAAAACCCGCAAAAGTTCTCAATCTTCAGAAGAAAAAAAATATTGTTTTACAGACCGGAAGCAATTTCAAAACTAGTTAAACCTACACTACAGATTAGTGATATATGAATAATAAAAGGAAGCCAATAAATCGGAAGGATCAGGCAAGCTAAAGAGACTGAAGACTTAATTTCAAGTGGCCTTCCATTTAAAAAAGATTCTCAACATTAACCGTCAAACCTTGATTTGTTACACCATCAAGTTGAAAAGATAAAGGGATTAGAAAATTTGAGTTTGTAACAAAGACTTAATTTCATTATTATAGCTACATGTTAAAGGTTGTTTATTCAGACAGAAGGTACTTATAGGTAACACTTGATCATAAATTTTGAACTAACGAATTGAGTCTTTGTCAAAAAATCTGATTTTCTAATCCCTTTAACTTTGCAATCCAATGCCGTAGACCTTAGAAATTTCTGCTATATACTGAATAATCTTATTTCGTATGATCAAAGGTTTGTATTATCAGGTTGCAAATGAGAAAATTTGAGTTTGCGGCAAGAGTTCAATTCCTTCCAACGCGCGATTTTAAACCAATTTTGTGATTTATTACCTGTTTTTATCTTTTTAAATAAAAGGAGACATTTAATTTTAAAAATTAAAAATTGTATAAATTAATTCATTAATTCATTCATTATTTGCTGCGTACATAAAAGACGATTTAAAATCACCATAACACCTCCCATATTTATTGGACCATCCTGTATGGTTACTCGATAAATATATGTATACTAGTAACCTTGATCTTATATCACCTAGACCTAAACCTCTAGTCCTCAATCTAATCTTAATTAGAGAGAAGGAGAGGAACTTAAGAACTATATTAAACAGTTGCTTAACAGGAAGCACTGTAAGTATAAAGGAAGGGGAGGGGGGGAGGGAGAAGAGAATGACACCATGGGAAAATATCTAGATGTAATGGATGATTATCTTACTTATAATGTCTTGAGTACACTACATACATGCAGTACATTGTACATGTACAGATTATTTATAAGTTACTTTATCGGTTCATTGTACAGTGCACACTGTTCATACTCTGTATCTACAGCGCGCTGTTGTAATAATAATAATAATAATAATAATAATGATAATAATAAGATCGGTTCAGCCGTTTTGACGTTTATTGGATACAAACAAACAAACAAACAAACAGACAGACAGACAAACAGACAAGCCAAATTTATATATAGATATCTACTTTATAATAATATAGCAAAACTTAAATACATGTGGTGTATGGGTGGGCCGAATGCAACACCGGTTATTTGGGTATTATTCGGTGTGTTCCAAAAACATTAATGAGAATTCAGACGACTGTATGTTTTCTAATGTTTTTCAAATATAAAACTTGTTTCTTTTGTGCCAAATAATTTAGGGCACTTTTAAAAACTGTATTCGTAAAATAATGTGTTTCACTATTTACAAGCTTTTAGATATTTTAAAATTTACAAAAAATGATAAACGTATTCAAAACCACGCAGTTTACGGAAGTTTAGAGTATAACTCAAAACATCTTTTATGCAAGTAAACAATACCCCTTCATATAAACAATACCCCTCCCCTTCCCTTTTCTTAGCAACCCCTCCCCCTCCCTCCTGACTTATAAACAATAATATGAAGTATCTTCCTCGTTAGGTTTTCACTGTTTAAATATTCATTGATTAGCTGAATCTTATTAATTAATGTCGAACTTGCAAAGTATTTCCAGCTTGTATGGCTTCTCAAACAGAATCTTTGCAAAATTTTGTTTGTAAAAACTTCTTTAAAGAGAAAGTATGCGAATTTTCAAAGGATTTAGAACATAAATTAAACAAATGTTCAAAAAAGAGTCAGTTTACAAGAAACCAATCACTTCTCGTTTTGAGAGAAAATGCAAGGAAAAATAATTGCAGTTGCATATACTCTGCGTACATATTGAAACCAGTTCTCTCTGGGCGGAATTTGTAAACAAGAATAGATAAATCAGTGTTCGTTTAGTATCCACTATCAAGGAGGTTAAAAGCATCGAATTTTGATAATTTTGAAAATTCATATAATAGTTTCCTATGACCAGAAAATTTTACAGATTATTTTTGTGAAAATGGATTCCATGTCAGGCTGTCAAATCCGTCTTGTGTTTACTTTTCCGCCCAAAGACAGTACACTGAAGTACAAAAAAGCCGTACACCTCTGAAATAGCTTTCCTTGCATTAGTACCTTGCGTATGCGAATCTGTAAAGAATTAGGAATACAAAATAAAAAATAAAAATTGAGGAAAATAAAAAGAGATAAGAAAACTTTTATTTCTCGCAAACAGTTCCTTTATTGCGTATTGGATACTATGGGTTGTAAAACCTTAACTTTAATGAGGAAATGTATAACAAATATTTAAAGAACTAAGAATATTAAATAAACAGATATAATTGAAAATAATAATTAGATCGACAAGAAAACTTTCATTTCTCGCTAAAACTTTCCTTAATGAGTATTGGGTGAAGATGGTAGTTTGACATTGAACCTGCGTGACATTGGATTAGCGTGATGTTAAACAGAACATCACATCATCAAAACAAACACACACAAAACACTCCCAACATTCACATAAAAAGCCAATAGAAATATTCTAAAAGGGACTGTAAGCGCAATTTCAAGTGACCCTTCATGCAAAAGATAGCAAGGCCCTATTTACAACGTAAAACCTTAATTTGATAAAAAATGTTAAATATGACGTAATTTTTCTGACCAAAAAAGTGTTTATTTCTGTGAATTTCTACAAATAAAAGTAGAAAATAAACAAAAACATGAATGTGTTATTGGTACTTGATCAGACAAAAATAAAAATATATAAAAATAATTCAATTTAGTCAAAAATGATAATTAAAAAACAAACTTACCCCTCTATACGGGGTTCCATAGTAGTTATCCGACCCATGGTATTCGTAGTAGGATACAGGGTGTCGTCTCATCCTGCCTACAGGGTGTACAGTAGAAACTGCAGCTCAGGAGAGAATTAAATCATTAACAGGGTGGAGGAAAATCTTGTTTTCATTTGGTTTCGGAATCTTCTGGCATTGCGTTCAGTTTTAGCAAACCTGAAATAAAATATGATAATAATAATTATCTACAACATTAATGATTATTATGGTAGTGATGAAAATAATTATAAATATAAGAATAATTCTAAATTATGGTTTATTTTATGACTGATCCAATTTTATAAAGAGTTTATAGAGGTAGAATGTATTTAAGCTCAAACCATAAAATTGCTAGTTCTGGTTTTATAGAAACTTTTGTGAATCATTTTTTAAATTTTCAGCCAATTTGTACCTCCGCACTAAACATCTTAATCTTGGTAATTTTTCTATTTTCTCCGGTAAATTATAGGCTTAGAACTGTTTGTTCTCATAGTAGAGATACAGTTATCCAAAATACNGAGTTTTCCGTTTCACAAGGTATCCTTTAAACTTTTATTCTGTTGAAAAACAAGTGGAAATTATCATCGTTTTTCTATTTGGAATTGTGTTAATTTTGACAATTTTCTTCTTTTTCTCTGCTGCATAAAAGCTGTAAGTTGATTCTGTAGATAACCCGCAATTGGAAATTAATAATTTTCAGATGGTTGATTTGGTTGATTTGGTTGATTTGGTTGATTTGGTTGATTTGGTGGATTTGGTTGATTTGTTTGATCTCTTCAAATTACGTCGACAGTCCCTTTAAAAATGTGAAACTTTGAAGATTTACATTTTTTCAAAAGATGACTTTAACCATTAATTCTATACCAATTATATATTAACAATGTATTCAGGTTTCATGATTTATTTACTGCCTATCCTAACAATTGTTAAAGCACTCCCTAAATTAAGATTATCGCCTACATCACCTTTAATTGTCCGTATGTTAAAGCAATTAGCTAAAATCAAGGCTAGGCCGTATTTGATTGCTGTTTTCACAGATAACACAGAAAGGCCAAAAGAAAAAGTCGTAGCAGGCTTTAAGTAACTTTTATATATTTAATGATCTTTACATAAAGAGTTCATTATATGTGGAATTGCTGGCGTCACGACTTTTGGACCTCGTAACTCCACAAGGTCTGAATGAGAAGATATTGAGAAAAGCAAACTGAGGCTGGAACTTTTGGGTGGAGTATCTACTGTTAATCTTAATTGCACTTAATCTTGATTTGAGATTTAAAGGGAGTGACCGACAATGTATGGTGGTTGAACTGAATATGTAGTATTGTGGACAAATGTTTTAGGATTCATTTGAGACAGATAAAACATTTCTAGACGACGGCAAATTGTATAGTAAAATTCTATACTAAACTAATTAGATCCGTAGATCTGCATAAACCGTAGATCTGCATAAACCGGAGATCTGCTTTAACCGGAGATCTGCATTAACCGGAGATCTGCATAAACCGGAGATATGCATAAACCGGAGATCTGCTTTAACCGGAGATCTGCATACACCGGAGATCTGCATTAACCGGAGATCTGCATAAACCGGAGATCTGCATAAACCAGAGATCTGCTTTAACCGGAGATCTGCATTAACCGAAGATGTGCATAAACTGGAGATATGCATAAACCGGAGATCTGCATTAACCGGAGATCTGCATAAACCGGAGATCTGCATTAACCGGAGATCTGCATTAACCGGAGATCTGCATAAACCAGAGATCTGCATTAACCGGAGATCTGCATTAACTGGAGATCTGCATTAACCGGAGATCTGCATAAACCGGAGATATGCATAAACCTGAGATCTGCATAAACGGGAGATATGCATAAACCGGAGATCTGCATAAACCGGAGATATGCATAAACCGGAGATCTGCATAAACAGGAGATATGCATAAACCAGAGATCTGCATAAACCGGAGATATGCATAAACCGGAGATATGCATAAACCGGAGATCTGCATAAACCGGAGATCTGCATAAACCGGAGATCTGCATAAACCGGAGATATGCATAAACCGGAGATCTGCATAAACAGGAGAGCATAAACCGGAGATCTGCATAAACCGGAGATATGCATAAACCGGAGATATGCATAAACCGGAGATCTGCATAAACCGGAGATCTGCATAAACCGTAGTTGTATAAACCGGAGATCAATAATTGATCCCAAAATTCACAACACAAAAGTTATAACGAATGATCGTGTTTGAAATCTTAAGGTCTTAATCTAAAATTAAATAAACTTTAAATGTACAAGGATTATCGACTTGAAATAAGCTGGTACTATCTGTATTATCTGTGAAATCCACTATGCACACACTCAAATTATGAGCAAACACTACTTGACAGAATTTGAAAGGATTGGTTAAAATATTTAAGAATATTAAAATATTATATTGATGATTTTAATGTTTAAATAGCATGGTACTTCCCCCCTTTCCCACTCATCCCCTCCTTCATGCCTTTAGGCAACAAGAGCTTAATTTATGCATGTACTCACATACGCAAAGAAACAATCTACGCAAATCACAAGGATGGATAGATAGACAGCATGAGTGACATAAAACTAGTAAATTACGCTGTTAAGTATACGCAATTATTTTACAGAATTCTTTGGAAACACTTCCTGTTTAGGATGGGGGGATGGGGGGGGGGTACAGGGAAAAGAGAGGAGAAGGGGAACAAATCGGAAGGAAAACATAACGATAAAAATAATATAGTCCTTTAATGCCTCTTTGCAAATCCTGGAAATGGCATCCAGTAGAAGCTAAACCACTGACAGTAGTCTAAATACCTGCAGCGGGTATTAGACATTGCACACACTGGTAGAGACGAACTTATTTCGTTCTGATTGAAAATGATCAAAAAATGGTTTGCCTTTTCGAATACGCTGATAAAATTTAGTAAAATTTAATAAAGCTTTTTTAGAATTACTTATCAAAATATTAGCGTGGAATAACACTTTAATCTCATTTCATAAAACATTGTATTTCTTGAATTATTGATAGAATCTCTAAATATTTGACAGAATCTAATAAAACTTTTAAATAATCTTTTTACGTTTTAAGCGAATTTTATGAATATTTGATCGAATCTCATTAAACTTTGATAGAATCTCATACACCTTTGATAGAATCCAAAAAATCTTTGATAAAATCTAATAATACTTTGATATAAATTCATAAAATTTTGATAGAATCTCAAAAAAACTTTGAGAAGAAGCTCATACAACTATGATAGAATCTCATAACACAGAAGCGACTCTCAAAATGCAAAAAAAGAATATGTTTCCGAAAATTAAAGTTAATTCAAAAATTGACGAAAGCCTGAGTTGTTGGATCTATGTAAACCAGTGTACGTACACTGTACATCGCAAAGGATCAAATAGTTTAAATTCTCAAGTGTATATATTTACGGTTTAAAAAGAACGTAAAGATCTTAATCTAAAAACGGGTAGAATCTTAAACTTGAAACAACTGAAGCCGCAGAGGCGTATTCAAGGGGGGGCTATTGGGCTAAGTCCCCCCCTGGACCAGTGAAATCTATTGATTTTAGGGGGTTTTTAGGCCCCAACGGATGCTGAGCCCCCCCCCTGGAATGAGAAAAAAATTTAAACCCTCCCCTCCTGGAAAAATTCCTGAATACGCCCCTGACTGAAGGTTATCCGAAGAAGAATTAAAGATGTCCGCATTGTTTTAATATTTAAGGAAAAATATATTCATTTGAATATTATATTAAATCAACATGCAAATATTAATATCTACACCAAAAAATTCATATGCTCATGCATCTGAATGCGTAATATATTCATTGAATACCATATTAATATAACATAAAATTGAATATTCAAAACTTAATTTTTGATGCCTCACTGGTAACCTTTAATTTTAGAATGTTTATTCAAAATATCTAGTATTTCAATGATTTTCTTTTTCTACTTTAAAGATCATTACAATTTTTACTTTTATATCTTTAGAAAATCCACCAATTAATTTCCGGTGTACACATTCTGGTTAGACATATTTTAAAACAAAACCGAAGGAAACCTTATTCAGCCTTGAATCTGAAAAAATCCGCGAAAAATGAAGTATTCGCACAGAAATATATCTAACAGCTGATTGGTAGAATGAATGAACTAATTGATAAGGTTTAGGATTATACTGAAGTTTGTCAGGTGTACACAATCATACATATATCTCCTGGGTGCTAAAGAACATGTGTTATTTCAAAATATCTTGATATAAAAGAAAATAAATGGATCCCGCAGAGCTCTGAAATAACGCAAACAAATAGAACATTGTTAGAAAAAGAGAACAAAAAACAAAAATAATTAATTATTTCTGATTGAAATTAAATTTGTATACGTATAAAAAATAAGAAAGTATGCCAGTCTTATTAAAATCTAATATTTCACATGAAGAGACGCGTGGAGACATTTAAAATTATTATAATCCATCAGAAATAGTCTCATGTTTGAAGAATTATCCAAGAAATATGATTAAAGTGTTGATTTCACGCAGATAATTGGAAAATAAATGTTTTGACGAGAACTTTTGTTAAATAATTGCGGTGTTTTCTTTCCTGTAAAAATTACTGTTGTCTGTGAAAAAAATCCTCCCCCCCCCATTCTCCCTTTTCCGGTACAGATGCAGTGTCTTAACGATGCTATTGTCTGAAATATAATAAATTGTTCTTTAATTTCTTCATCGGTTACTGTCAAATAGGTATCCGTCTTCAGCCTATATATAGATTTTATGTACAGTGTACAAACTGCACACTGCTCAGCTAGCCAGACATTCAATCATCAGGTTAGTTTTTTACATACTTTCCTAGTTCTAAGAATGAGAATCAACGACGACCTGAAACTCATTAAATAAGGGAAACTAAGTTTATTTTGTGCTAATATCTTGAATAAAGTCTTCTAATGGTATGCTTACATTCACTGCCTTGAAAGACACAAGATTACAGTTTAAGAGAACCATTGATGCAAAAAAACTTCCTCAAAGTCTTTTGTGCGATAATACTGTACAGTGTGCATGAGAATTTCATTGTTTTATTATTGTCTGAACTCCCCTGTAGAATTTGACAAAAAAATAATGGAAAGATTAAAAAAGATAATCTACAAGAAG